TGATCAAGCATCTAAATTATTATTATTTTTTTAGTAACCGCTGTTCTACCAGTCTCTACACTAGCATGGGCTGCTAAAGTACATGGTTTGTTAGGGCAGTGAATATAAACTTATTTTTTTGTCTGAGATTGGAAACCATTATTGATTTTCATACTAAAGATCCTAAGTTATATGACAGTTTAGATTAATAATTTATTTTTTCCTTCTGAAATTGCACTGCATGCTTTTAAAGAAATGAAATACATTGAACTAATGAGCTACTTTTACGCTGGGTCTGTTCTATTAAAGTCATTTCAGAACAAATAACTAAAAATACCTACGAGTCTGCCGCAGTTCTATAATCTTGCTGTACAGAACATCTTTATTTGATTCTATCGCATGTGGAAATGTTTGCATTCTATGGGTCTGATTCTTCTTTAGCCTGCATTTTGTGCAGTCATTTCCATCTGTACAAAAATGGTGTAAAACACTACCATTGTGATCTGGAACAGTTGTGATTTACACTGATACAAATGACTAGCCACAATGCCAGGCATCAAGTGCAACACCTTTTCTTCATCCGGAATCAAATATGATCTATTTTAAGAACCAGTAACTAGTTCCTTAAATAATAATGTGTGTAAAGAAGCTATTTTCCCCAGACCTTTTTCTATAGCATGAATTTAATTCACTTGCCTTTTTCCTTTAAAGTGATTCAGTTCACTTGACCTGGCCAGACAACTGATCTCTAAATTTGTAGAAATATTGAGGACCCTAATATGATTCATTTATGGTTCACATGCTTTTTGATTTTAATATTAAAGGGGATGTGATTAGAAGTGGGAAGAAGAAAATATGTATATGACCACACTAAGATAATGTAAAATTTGGAAAGAATTGTTGCTGATGAACATTGTTCTACATCCATGTCCCAAAAGTGTGTAAATTTTAAAATCCCGGAGAAAATGTTAGCTACACAAACTAAAACCACACACCTGCACCACCCAGTAACTTTATCTTGTGTAACTAGAACTTCGTCTGTGGATCACCCTCAGACTTGCTAACCTTGGAACCATTCAAAGGGATTAAAACCTCAAATGAACTTGTGCCTATGTTCTTTAAAATGACCAGCACTAGCATTCTTTTCTTAAATAAGTATGAAGCACCTTTGTCTTCCTTGTGCACATTTTGTTTTTTCCTTAAGTAAAAAAAGCGTGTCCCATGCAAGGAAAACCCCAGTATTTAATTAGGTATGAAGTCCCCTGTGACCTCTTTATAGCATCTCAGGGTAATAATTTACACAACATGTTGTAAAATAGTAGTTCCACTGAAGTCAATAATGGTGTGATATCAGGGTGAGAGCAGAATAAGGCGCCTATGTTGTGCCAGTTGTCCATTCCCTCAAAGATGGCATCGTCTTGAGAAGACTCATATGTTGAGGTATTTCTACACTCCATATTGTATAATATGTGCAATTCACAATATGAGGCACGCTTTCCAGAGGTGAAAGTAAGCAGGTTCACCCTGGTGCACAGAGCTGGCTGAGCTGCAGCAAAAGCTAGCAAGAAGTTATTTAAAGAGCTAGCAGGGACCTGGCTTGCCATAGGACAGTACCAGTAAGGGTACGTCTACACTAGCTCGTTAGTTTGAGCTAGGTAGGGTAATTAGGGCAAGCGGAGTTGCAAAAGAGACCCGGGATTTAAATATCCTGGGCTTCATTTGCATGTTCCTGGGCGCCGCCATTTT